CCCCAAAACCCCAAAACCCCAAAACCCCAAAACCCCTAGAAGTTTTCAAAGATTTTGAATATTAGGAATAAACGGTGAATTTGAGATCTTTAGGGCAAAGCCCGAAGAGTTGTAGCTTTTGAGCACTTGAGCAGGTTATTATTGGAAGGCTTGATTTTGGAAGTTTAGAGAAGTACTCTTGGGATGTCACTGGGAGCAGAACCATACAAGCAATGTTTTGAGGTATTCTAGAGGGATACATTAGGATCATCTTTTCTGTGGAAAAATGATAAAGAAATATGATGAAGAAATTTATGAAATAAAAATTTGTTTCATAAAATCTCTGTTAACTATTACTTACTTTTGACCATCACAATCATTCTCTTCTATATTATGGGAACTTTGTATTGCTCCTTCAAAGTTATGGGCCTTGACAAGTCCGTCTTTAGATCAGGAAATGATGAAATTATTGTTAGAGTTTTCCCAAAAATGAGTTGCTACAACACCAAATTCAGAGTCTTCATCAGTAAAGACAGGGAGAATATCTGCTGAAGCTTCCATCATTCTCAGGTCCCAAAGTTTTACTGCATAGTTTGGGCTAAAGTTCTAAAGAAATTGCTTACGAATGTCCAGTGACTCAGTAATACCCATCTTGAGTTATGTCTAAGGTTTGAGCAAAGCTGTCACCAATGTTAGTCTTAAGTGGCTGATCAAAGGTTTCCTAGACAGGATTAATTGAATTATACTGATGAGTTATCTCTGGTATCGAAAATTCGGAGGTGCAGGTCCTCACTAGCTTGGAGAAATGTATCAGTGCCTGGGATCCACTTCATTGAAGTGACCATATTCCTTTCAATTTCTGAGCTCCTGATTTGTTTGTTCTAGATTTTTAATATTAAATTTACAGTATTGAGATCCCAGAGGAGGGTTTGGTAGTCTCTTCCACCAGTAGCAAGCATTTTGGACGCTTTATCTGCAGCACAAGATGTGACTGATAAAGTATGACCTTCTAGGGTTATCTCAGAGCCAGTTTCAAAAGGAGAGTCTGTATCAGGGATTGTAAAGATTCTTACAATGCCATCTCGACAACAGGTTGCCACTTTTTGGTAAGACTTAGTCTAAGTTTATTAAATTTATACTCTTACTGTTTCATCAAATGAAATAGGAAGAGCATAGTTTACTTGCTTTGGATGTGGAAATTCCAGGCAAGTGTCACCTCCAATGGTATATATCTTCAGAACCTTGTTCATACTGAAACACATCTTTGACTCATTCAGAACAGTGATGTGATTGACAAAAGAGTTCAAACCAGATAGATCCCAGAAAGATCCCTCCTGTGTTTCTTTAACCGGAGATTTTTCTTCTTCATTTTCATTCATGAAAACTCCCTATAACATCTCAGTAAGATGTATTATGAAAATTGTACTTCAACTTGTTTGACGCTGACTTCCTTCGCAGAATGAGCAATGACATTTTTAGTCTATGTATAAGCAATTATTATTTTACTTCAGAGACCTTCTCCTTAGACTCAGGGTCAATGGAGACTTTAGCTCTTTTAGGTTTTCAAATACAGCAGGTTTTAGAGATACATATTCCCATTTTATTTTAATTATATGCTTCAATTAGATTGCCTAGCTTTGGGGTTTTGGGGTTTTGGGGTTTTGGGG